TAGAACATTAATTAGCACAAGGTGATTAGGTTAAAAATTATTCATTGTAATGATAACAGTAATAATAGATTAGCTGAAATACAATGCACTGTATTTAATGCTGTAAATGTTAAACTTTAGATTTTACCAAAAAAAAATAATTCAAGAACTGCCACACTCATATTCTTGCGCATTGATAAATATATTATTTAACATTAATTTGAATCTTGTAACTATTCAGTTATATAATGATAATAATTATTAAATAAATGCTATGTATTTAAAATATATCGTTATCATTATCATTACGTTACTGGTTACGTTATAGAATACAGCTGTTCGAGATAATTATATTAGATCAAGTTAATGTTAATGCTGGTAAAAATTGTCAAATGATTTGGCTAGCTTTAAAGCTATATTGTAGCTTACAAATGGGCCGGGTAAGTTACAGTAAATTACAGTGTAATTTACGTGTAAAGTAAGTTGTCAGGTATGCTTTAACAACCCTATATCAAAATTATGTTTACCAGAGTTACAAATTAAATTTTACAAAAATTATGTTTACCAGAGTTACGAATCAATTCTACTAAAATTATGTTTACCAGATTTATGAATTAATTCTACCGAAATTATGCTTACCAAAATTACGAATTAATTCTATCAAAATTAACAAAATTATGTTTACCAGAGTTACGAATTAATTCTATCAAAATTATGTTTACCAGAGTTACGAATTAATTCTATCAAGATTGCGTTTACCAGAGTTTAGAGTTGTTAACTAATACATAACTTAGACCGGGGTAAAATTGTCACCCAAAAAAGTTTTGAAAATAATGTGAAATTGTCAATTCATCAGATTAGATTATGATAATAATATTTAAAATTTTATAATTGAAATTTTACTGTATGACCTGGCAGATATTCTTTCATTGTAAAATTTTATAAAATTTAAATTTTATAACTTAATGTTTTATGACCCGGCTGGGTTATGAAAACCAATATATAAATTTTGTTTGGCCTTATGTAAAATTATATGTCAAATTGTAATTTATATTACACAACCCTAAACATAATTTCAAGCAAAAATTAAAATATAATTTTAAGCAAAATTAAATATAATTTCAGGCAAAATTAAAAATAATTTTAGCCAAAACTAAAATATAATTTCAAATAAAAAAATTAAGTATAATTTCAGTATAATTCCAGGCAAAAGTAAAATATAATTTTAGGCAAAATTAAATCCTCCCTTCGAGCTTAACAAAAGTTGTTCTGAAGAACAACTTTTATTAAGCTTGAAGGGAGGTTTACTTAATACTAAATCCAGTTCTGAGATTTTTTTTTAATCTTACTAAATAAACACCCCTTACTATGGGGTGTGTTATTTTGAGACGCATATAGTGTTATTTTGAAACTATATAAATAATTTTTAGAGGGTACAATTTTCGACATGAGCGAACTACAAAATAATAGTTTTTTAAAAACACAGCTAACTAATAGTTCTAGAATACAATTTATATTAACGTTAACTATTATATTAATATTATTCATTAACACAATTAGAGGTTTCATAATTAAAATCAGAGAATCTTATTTTATTTTTCCGATTTATAATTCAACATAGTAAAAATACTATTTAAAAAATTCTATTTATTTTCGAAATGCGCCACTTATTTGCTAATTTTGAAACCCCCTAATTAATATATTTCAATTAGTAATTAAACAATTAATTTAATACTATCAATTAATAATAATTAGAAAAGTTTGATCAATTTTCTAATTCACACGCATTTCATTGTATAGTAGTTCGCATTTCTATTAGTTTACGGTCATATTACTACCCAAGATACCAGAAAATTTGTTTCGTCCAATCACAGAATTTAGAGTGTATTTGATTAAAATGGAAATTCGAGATCATTACAAAAATATAGCCAATCATAAAATTTAGAGCATATTTGATTAAAATAGAAATTTGATGTCACAACAAATTAACGTGATCTATTGAATAAATCACATTTACTCCAAAGTAAAGAAAAATAAAAAGCATTTAATATCTTTAATAACACTTTTGACAGCAAAAATGTAAAAGATTAGAAGAACTATCTGTTTAACTGCAAGCTCATTTTGTGGAAAAAAAAAAAAACTTTAAAATGTTGATTAAACCGTCAGTCATTAATATATTGCAATCAGTGTTGTCCATGGACATGGACTGTCCATGTCTATGAACAAATGAAAGGCACGTCCATGTTCAAGAATCGGAAGTATGCCAGAGCACTACATATAGTATTTATATTAGTACCGCAACTTTCAATTGATATTTTGTGGTTATAGTAGAATACATCAAATTTATTGATTTGCTAAAAATAAAACAATTTTGTATTTAAGTCGTAACTTATTATAAAAAATATTAAGGCTGGTAAAGTATACGAAGCAAAAAGTACTACAAAAATAATTGTTCGATAAATTTAAAAGAATAATTCACATGAATTTTTCTAAAAAAATGAATAATATATATTTTTCATAAAAATTTCTAATTATATACGGTATTGGATATATTTAAACTTATTTAAAATGTTTTTGCTATAAAAGTGCAGATTCTAATATCCTTTTCATAAACAAATTTTTTTTTTAAAGCTCTATGGTGAATAATATAACAATTTATCTACGCAATAATGTTATTAAAATAAAAAAGAATGCCGAAACCAAATCATAGTATATGAAAAGCTTCTCTAGACAAATGCACTAATCTCAACTTATATGATAACTTACAGTATAGACTTTTACCTCCCTAAATATAATCATATCGATCACTCGGCTATGCATTTAGAGAAGGTTGACTATTTAAAGAAAAATACTTTTTAGTTCTAATTCTTTAAAAAGTGTGGCCAATTCCCATTTCGCACTGTTGTTAACTGCAGGATGAGTAATACAGGGGGTGACAAAAATATTTCTACACCTAAAGACTTGGCTTATAACTCAAAAACTTACTAATTAATTTTGGCCTTAATTTATTTATCTAAATCTATATCTTTCTGTGATTATGTGATGTTATTTTTAAATTATATGTTTATACATACTATGGATTGGGATGTAGACAAAATAGGAAGGATGCTTTATATCATTTAACCTGTAAAAAAGTTAATAAGTATACAATGAGAGCAATCATAATTATTTGAAAAATATATAATGTAAAAAAAAGAAGGACAAATAAGAAAGTATAAAATAATGGTAGTCATAGTTATTTGGAAGTAGAATCTATATTCATATTGATTTTCATTATTCAAATGCCGATTTTTACTTTTCAAAGACTGAGTTTTAATTTCTGAATTTCATTTTCCAATTCTTGTATAATTCTATTAGATTGATTCGTTGGATTAAGTAAAAGTATAAAATAGTAAATCTTTATCTTTAACAATTATACAAAATTTACCTTTTCTTCTAATAATGTATCGACTGGTGATTTGTTCATTTTTGCACTTTGCTTAGGATTTCTTTTTAACTTAAACAAATCAATGATCGAGTATCAGACTGCTTTTACTTTAATAATTGAATAACGGATCATTGTACTGTAAGCATTAATTAAAATGCTTTTCACTAAACTTGATAGGGCAGTAATAATGAAAGGAGCAGAAGACCACTGTACGCTAAAATTTTCGCTGATTACTTGCTCCAGCCAATCAGATACCAGAAAAAACTATACGTACAGTACGTACAGTACGTTCTGTACGTACTGTACGCTAAAATTTTTCATGCTTCAGACTATAATAATTTAAAGTATTCAAATACCAAGCAATTTGATTGCAGAAAAATTTTAATCAAGCACCACTGGAATCAGTAATTGTACCAGTATCAGATATGTTAATACCTAAATTAACTATATATTACAATTAACATATATTTATCGAAGAAGTAAAGAGGAACAATGTATAACAAAAACCCAATTAATTAAAAAACCATTAACATCTCAAGAGTATGCGTACTTTTAGAATCAACAAAAATATATGTATTTGTTGAAATAGAATATTTAATATATGTTCCAGATTTATGATAAAATCTCTTTTCAATGTAGTACCGATAAAATAATCCATCCGGATAATACATTATATATTCAATTTTATTGGCTTCAATGGTTGAAAAAAGTAACATTTTGAAACTTCACAAATCTACTTTTCGAATAACTAATAATCTTTGCATACTCTGCCTTGATAGAAAATTTGTTATCAAACAAATTCGAGTTATAGTAAAATTCGGTAGAAGTGTCATCGATAAGTTGAAAATATACATTTAAAGTTTTATCGTTAGGAATTGTTAAATATAAAAGAGCAATTATTTCATAGTTTTGAAAAATAGAAATCTCTTCAAGGATTTCAAACTCATTGCTTTTCATTTTTTTTTAGTGCTTCTTTATGAATCAAATTCTTTTTATCACAATAACTTAATTACGTGTCGAATTAAAATCTGTTATCATATCGTATTTTTAATGAAAGCCACAACATATAATTTTTAAATAAGCAAACCAAACAATAATAAAAATTCAAATCACTTTCACTTTAAAATAAAACCTGTATAAATTTTAAATAATATTCACATCTTTCAGCAATTACTAGGGATCTTGAGTAGTCTTAACTAGTTAACATTTTAGCAAACTCGTACTATGTATATTTGAAAACTCGTTATTTATTATTATATTATAGTATATATAATTTTATCCAGTTTATTAATATATAACATTTAAATTAATTTATATTACCAATATAAAACCGGAATTAAACTTAAAGTTAGAGTAATTTTTATATTAGCATTAAAAATAGTACTAAATTTGGGGGTCGTCTAAAGCGGAGCAGAATCACGTAACATATGACCAATTAAATTATAGAAATTTGATGATCTTCGGCGAAGCAGAAAGCAAAAAACCTGAAAAATACAAAAAACGGTAGTCTAAACCTACCTTGGTGAATTAATTAAAAATGTCGGGAAGGCAATTTTGCTTATATATAATACCTAAAACCTACCTAACTTTAATCTATTATGACCCTAACCCTAAAGTCAATTCCCTAAAATATATATTATAAGAATCTACTCCGCTTTAGACGTCCCCTAAATTTGGATTGAAAATCGTAAATCATGCTGCTGTTTCTATTTATGAATTGAACTTTAAATTAAAGTAGTTTTTTATATTAGTGGAATACATAAATTACTCTTAGTAAATTTATGAACAGTTGGAATTTTCGGTCTTTTTTTGGAGCAATATACAAATGTGATTGATGATTTGACACGATATTATGCGATATTCTTACTGAAACACGCGATTTTAAAGCTTGAAAAGTTTATTGACTGACCCTACTTCATAAAAACCAGTATTATACAAAAATTTAAAGTTTATTTTACATGAGATTCACCTTTACAAAGCGATATAAATGAATTAAGAAGTTTATTAATAGTTTTATCATTTGTTCTAGAATATTCTAAACTTTTTTTTGCATACTGTACTATACGCGGCACATCACTAGCTTAGGTTATCTGGCCTGCATCAACATATAATCTGGCTCGCATTAAATGTGTCATATGTAATAAAGGCAAAACACGATTTGGAATTAAGCTGTTGAAAATAAAGCAAGTTGGTTAATATAAAAACAAAGGGAGTCCAGATTAGATTCTATTGAGAAGATCAAAAGACACGGAAACAACTTATACTTTATATTTTTATTAATTTTTGTAAAAGACTATAAAGAATCAAGAGAGCCAAATTAACTAACTGAAGTATATAAGTAATCAAATACGTAGCATAGACAACTTAAAAAGGAGTAAAAAAATATATAGAATTTTGAATAATTGAATAATTTTAGCTATTACATTAAAAAAGTATTTTGAAAATATTTACCAACAAATAAAATTAAAGGATTGTTAATTACATTGAAGTAAATTTATTATTTCTTTGTCAATTCATGGTATTCAAAACATTAAATTACATTGACCTTAAAATATTTCTTTATAGACCTTTTCGAATTTCAACTATACATATTTTTTATTAAAACCAGAAATATTTGTATACTTAACTAAGAAGCTCTAATTAAAGTTGTCAATCGTTATTTTTTCATGAGTAAAAAATTTGTTTAATAGAAAAATATATATTAATTTTGGTAGAATACATTCGTAACTCCACATAATTTTGATTGAATTAATTCGTAACTCTGTTAATAATTAATTTGATAACTAAATAAAAATAAATTCGTAAACATAGTTTAACCAAAAATAGTAGCATAACTTTGGTAGAATTAATTTGTAATTTTTAATCAAGAGGAGAGCTAATGTTTCTGATATTGACTTTCCTATCATTATAAAATCCGATACTAATAATAATGGTACATATTAGCATTAAAGCTGAATATATCCACATGCAAATAAAATTTGCAGCTTGAATTTTACAAGCCGTCTTGATTTTCTAAGATGCATATGGATATTTGAATGGGCAAATAAACGGGATAGGGTCAATTTCATGGATAGTGTCGATTGTATAAATGGCTTTTTCAAATTAAAATAAAATTAGTTTCATTCGATGACTTATGATGGGTACCTCCACATCAAAAAGGATCAATGAGTCAAAAATATTTCTTTTAAAAAATTAATTTTTTTGAAGAGTAAATAAGTATCTAATCTTTATAAAATTACAAGATCAAAATTTTTGCTTATTGACCTCTTTTGTTGTAGTAGTCTCCAAATTAACATTATTTGAATGCTTACTTGATAGAATTAACCAAGCCAAGGATAAGACTAAATCAGGCCTGAAATTTTTAAAATTAAAAGTTAGTGGCTGTATATAGAGCTATAAAGAAAATTTAACATACTGTACCTAATATCACTTTTTTCATAACGGCAATAACAAAATATTGAAATGAGATTAATAACTATATAATTAAAATTTATTTAAGTTCTGGCAAAAATATTTTGAATAAGAAAACTTTTTAAGATAAAAAATATACCTGCAGTTAATAAGATAAGTATAATGTATCTAAAAATTATAAAGAAATAAATAAATAAGATTTTAAATAGTTCATTATAATTGCTGAAGTTTGGACCCGTCAACCCATATCTGGATATCCGTACGGTTAACCGCATATCTGGATGCTGTGAATGTCTTACAGGTAAGAAACCTTATCTGCCAGTTTCCAAACGGATAACCTAACGGATATCTGCGGGTATCCACGGGTATCCACGGATACCCGCAATTAAAGTAAGATTCGGGTTGCCTACCAGTTTAAATAATACTGATTAATAAATAGGTTCATACCTACAAGCCAAGCGCAATAATGGTATGTATATGTTGTGCCTCAGATTAAAACTTGCGTCGAATCTGACAGACGTCAGATTAGATGACAATCAATTGACCAGCATTAAATGATCAGCACCAACTGGCCTAAACTAACTCCTAACTTTACTGTAATTTTACACTAACTCTAGTCTAATTTAGGCCAGGTGTCAGATACTAGGATCAATCTGTGGCACTACATATAAACTAAATTGTTATAGCCCGAATTAGGCTTAATTCCCTGTGTGTTATTTCGCACAAATGAAATGATTTATACATCATTGCAAATAATAATTTAGGCTAGGTTATATTATCCGGTTTATTCGGATATTTGTATGATTATTTGGATATCTGGAAGGTTATCCGGTTATCCGGATACAGCTTTTATAAAACAGATACTATAAAACGGGTATCCGGATATCAGGGTCCAAACACTAATAATTGCTTGTTCTTACGCATATTCAACTCCTTTATTATACTTAAGTACTTCATTAGTTTGATCAAAAAGATTGACTTTTGCCAACACTATAAATAAAAGGATTTATATTAAATAGCATCAAAAATATCTCAATTATTAGATATAATCAATTTTTACCAAGTGATGGGCAAAGAAATGTAAGAATAAAAAGTGGTAGCATAAGCAGTAATTCTAAACAGATTCGTATTGCTTTAGACATTAAGTTTTGTAAAAATGATATAACATAAAAGACATAGATGGAAAGGTTATATATAATGCAGTGGAAATGGAAAAAGCAAAACTAGATAATTAATTTCACAATCGATGCTAATTAATTTTGCAATTTTTGTTCATGTTGATAAAATAGATATTTTAATTTTCATTTATTTTATAATTGGCACTTGCAACCTAAAATCAATGAAGTATAAATTTTAAAATTAGAATACAAATATAATAAAAAAATGTGATGTGACTCAATTCTTTCTCCTATTGAATAAAATTTTAAATTAGAATAGAAAAATGTAAATTAAAAAAATTTAGCATAAATTTTGGCAGAATTGGGATTTAATTTGGGCAGAATACAAATATAAATTTGAGAAAATTTAAGCATAAATTTTGGGCAGAATTAGACTACTCTGTACGGTTTTTAATTTTTCATTGAAGAAATACTGGATCGAAGATATTAAGTAACGCACGCATTATCCTCAAGAGTTTATGCTACGAATTTAGTTTTTGTTTTATTAATATTTCTGGTAAATATTATCCTAATATTGTTTCATTAGAATAATATCAAGTGTTAAATCTTTTTTTCACCATTATCCGATTTTATTCAATTTGTTGTAATTATCAAGTGCTAAATCATCAAAAACGTTACTTTTTTACAAAAACATTTATTATAAATTGGTATAAAATTTTATTGAGTTTGAAAATAATTGCTACACTCGGGTTGTCAGTACGTAGTCTTAAGGGTTGGCGAATAATTAAAATTATTAATTTAAATTATAATATCTAGTGCTAATAATCACATTTAAAAGTTAAATATCAGATCGAAATTCTAAAAGTTTTAAATTGCTTTCACTAATTCATTTTCAAACTTTTCGATTTTTTCCTCCAAATAAAAGATTCAGAGGAAAATAAAAAATTTAATGAAGAAGTAAATCGTCTTAAGACGACAAATATGGTCAGAAATGATTTTGAAATTTGGCAACAAGTTGCAAAATATGATGACAAAACCTTATTTGCGATTGCAAAGAAAAAAATCAGTGAATACAAGAATAATTGTAAAAAGATTAAGCAAAGTCTTGAGCAATTAAAAAAATATGATAGGTAATTAAATTATTAAAATATGTTCATATTGTTTTTTTATTAAAAAGAAAAAATTAATTTGAAATTTTTTTATTTTAAAATTAAAATTAAATGTTCGTTATGAATTAGCTTCTATTAATAATGTGGATTTCTTTTGAAAGATAATTCTTAACAATTGATTTAAACTAATCAGATATATTTGCATACACTTTTAATTCCCGGGAGTATTGATTATTTTAAAAATTTTTTTATGATTCGAAATTTTTTGATTCTTCAACATCGAACAGAGTACTATTTTATAATTTGGGATTAATTCCATTCAATCAAAAGACCCCATTTCTTTGTTTCAGCAATGTTCATTGTGAAAACAACTTTAATATTTGTGCTTAGAAAACCTTCGTGAATAGAATTCTCTATAGTATACGAATAAATTAACCACTTGCCAATTGTTCTAGAATCGTCGTTTAAATGATTACACGAAACGTCTATGCTATTAAATAAAGTAAGAATATTAAACATCGGGAAATGGAGTATGGATGAGTATAATACAATAATTTAAATAATACATTTAATACATATATTATAATTTAAGTAATAATACAAATATACGCAGTATGTAGAATAAGATATTAAGTAGCACGTAAATCTTATTTCTAACTCAGGGAAATAAAAAAAAAATGTTATTTATAAATTACAGTATTTCATGTGACTGCAACAAGTGTCTACCATTTGAATAAAAGATTCGCGTATGGCCGGATTCTTATGGAATGCACCGGATAATTCTAAAAGTTAATACAAGAATAATCAAATGTCTATTTATTGTCTTTAATTACTTTTTATAAATGGCATCATCGAGCGGTAAAATTTTTTTAATAAACAATATCAATTCAAAAATTGTTGATTCTTAATTGTCGCATTTATAATTTATGAAGTACTGTATTTAACAGTGATGATGAGACAGGGGCCAAATAATTGATTGTGAAGGAAATTAATTTAATCTTAAAATAAAAATAGCATAGTATGATTTGCATTCAAAAATTGTACTGGATTCATAAAATTCAATAACCTTGATAATAATTTTTTTATTTACGTTAGCATAACAAATATCATTAATTATTAAATCACATTAAGTGTAAATCATTAGCTCAATGGGCCGTTAATCCTTTATTGTCAGAATCAATTCTAAGGTAAGTGAAAAAATTGGACCAAATTAATTTAAGTTATTATCATTAAATAATTATAAAACTTAAAATCAGCTTCTAATTCATGCAATAAGTTATTTCTTGTAACATGCTTTAGCTCTTGAAGTGCATCAGTTTTATCTAGTTTGCCAGTTTTATCCATTTTATAAGTAATCATCAGATCTCCAGTAATAACATTTATAATATCGATACTAGTCAATAGACTTGTAGTTTGGTGGAATCTCATGTAAGATAAGCTTTTCAGGCTGCCCTAAAAAAAAACTGTTTATAAATTTACTGAGAGATTATCTTTATTCAAAACCGTAATATAAAAAACTACTTTAAAGTTCAATTCATGAATAGAAAATGCATGATTTACGATTTTTTAATACAAATTTGGTATTATTTTCTAAGTAATATAAATTAATTAAATTTACATATTTTATAAGCTGGTTTTGAAGGCACTTGCAGAACTCAATTGTAAATCTACTTGGCAATATTTAATCAATTCGCTCATTCTGACCGAATTTGGTCGAAAGTCACGGGAATTTTATTTTCAACGAAACAAAATGAAAATAAAACTAATCGAAGAGAACTAAATGAAACTCATATGATTTATTATTTAATTTTCACTGATTGACAAAATAAATTTTCTCACACAAAAAATCAAAGAAAATTGTAAAATTGTAAAATTACAATCAACAAACAGTTACGATGCTTTCATTATCAGCTATATCTAAACTGTCACTTTTTATTTTTTCTTCTAATTTTTGTTTCTCTATTTCAGGATTAAATTCATTACTATTAAATTTCAGTGTAGTTAAAGTTGTGTTCATGTGAAATACTTCTACTAATTCTTTTCCCACATCATTTCCAAGTTTATTATATAAAATATCTAATGATTTCAACCCTTTATTTTTGCAAAGAGCAGATGCTAATACTTTACCACCTTCATACCCAAGATTGTTATAGTAAATATCTAAAGTAGCTAGCATATGGTTATTGCAAAGAGCATTTGCTAGCACTTTCCCTCCTAAAGAACCAAAGTTATTACATGAAAGATTTAAAGAAAGCAAATTGTTGTTTTCGATAAGAGCATCTGCTATTGGTTGCACGTAAACATAATTTGGCAGAATTAATTCGCAACTCCGGTAAACATAATTTGGTGGAATTATTCGTAACGTTAGATTTGCAGATGTAATTCGTAATTAGTGTTCACGTGACCTTTAGTTCTTTTCATATCTTTTCATAATTGGTTAATCGCATCAAATTGATGATTGGTCAAATTTATAAATTACAAAAAATCACAAAGAATTTTTTGACCAATTAAATTCAATATAAATAAATCATGTGAGCATTAAGTAACCAATCAAATTAGTTAAATACATTTATGGGTCTTTGCCATGAAAATGACCTAGTCCTGTAAGGTCATTTTCAAGGCAAAGACCCCATATATCATTTTACTATCGCTATCGAGAAAAAAACGCAATAAGCAAGTTTTTATTTTCAGTTATTTTATATTATCTTTATGCATAGTAGGATATTTTTTACAGCATTTGAACAGAGAATTGGGGAATTTGTAGCTAAAATATTAAGTTCGTAAGATTCTGAAAAAAAAATTAATATAACATATGCGAAATAATACAATACGACACATAAAAGAGACCATTACTGTATTATTTTATCATGCTATGTATTATTTGTTAGGTAATGTAACCACAATCATAAATCGAAGAATGGATTTTTTTTATATCTAATAGGCATGCGATTCATTCAAAATTTTAATGTAAAACTGAAGTTTTATATGTATAGATAATTTAAACAGATCGCATCTTAAAGTTTATTCATTTATTCTATTGATATTGTTAACAACTAATAAACGAATTATTAGAAAGAACAAGTGAACAATAAAATATTCAGATCTTAATTTATAATCATTTGAAAAAACTTTCACAATTAAATGATCACAATAAAAAACATTTGACTCAGTATTTTCTACTAAAAGCTGTATTGTATAATCACACTTGAAAAATAAGAAAAAAAATTTACTAAATAACAATTATTTTTAATTCTAAAAATAGTTTTTTTTATCGATAGTTAAAAGTAAAAGATCTAATTTTTCCATTTAATTAATGTTTTATATAGCTCGTTAATGTTTGGTCGATCAGGGGATTATTGGCCATTAACTTTTTGAAACATTCGGGTGTATCTCCAGTGATAATTGGTCGATGTCCATCCAATATTTTTAAAATTAAATCTGTATTGTGTGATTGATTAGCAAATGGTTTTTGTCCAGAGGTGAATTCCCACATAAGCATGCCAAAGCTATAAATATCAGTTGCTTTTGTATAAATTTTTTCATTAAATACTTCAGGTGCAATATATAGTACAACACCATATATTAATTTTGAATTTGTTGACTTCACCTATAAATGCATAGTCTCTATTAGATAACCTTTATATATATATATTTCTGCTATGTAAATCACGATGAACCAAATTTTTATCGTGGATTACTTTAAGACTATAAAGAAAGTAATAATAGTTATTATCGAATTCTAATTAATTATAATCGAATTATGCGTGTTATTAGAGATGTGCCATTTATATGTTACCTGAATTTTTTTTCACGTACAGTACGTAGCGTACAGTACTGTACGCGGCACATCTCTACGTGTTATTATATATATTCGCGTGTTGGATTCAATTACCTTTTCACAATATCAACTAACAATTTAATTTTATTTTTCCAAGTAAGTTTATTATACGATTTTTCAAGTAGTCATATAAATTTCCACCAGAAACATATTTTGTTACCATTGAATAATTCATATTAAACGGGTCACGTGTAATTCCATATATTTGAACTACACCATTATAATTTTTGAATTTCTGATGAGAATCTGCCTATAATAAATATAATAAATAAGGAAAATACATTCAGTAATGTCATGTTCATGTTTTGTTGCTTTTATTTACCTCTTTCAAGAAATCGACATTTATATTATCAGAGTTATAAAGGCTTTTGAGAACGACTTCAATGTGTTTCCATTTAGCTTTGTACACAACACCAAACCACCTTTTGATAAATATTTAATATCCCAAAAACAATTATATGGAATCCATTGAAATTGTTCTCCTGTTGATATTAAAAGTCATCAATTATTTGGTTTCCACTATTGCCTAAACCAAACTCATCGATACACATCTCACATTGATGATAGTTGTTTTTGAAATTTTTCCACATAATGAACATATGAGAGGGAATTCAAGATTATAATATTACACTGATTCCCGGTAGAAATGCATCTATCACAGGTGTACCTCCTGAACATCTCGTTTTAGCACGTGCACAGGGAAGACATACTGCTGAAATATAAGGACTATGAAATTTATCAATTTTGGCTGCTGCTTTAGTTATAGAACTGGGTTTCTTTGGTCCACATTTTTGTTGATTAGTAAAATTACATGTTAAAGACAATCTAATACATCTTGAACAAGCACTATCAACTGAAGCATTACATTTCGATTTAGAAGTTTCATCTTTCATTGTATTTTTACTTGTGAATAAAATTAGGTGTAATACTAATATGCAAAGAATTCTCTGAAGAGTCTATCTATTTCCTGCTGGAGTTGTATTTTAACAAATTTGGGGTTTTGTGACATGAATTATTCCAGAGATTACATCCGCCTTTCCTATGAATAAAAAGTAATTTTTGTGCATTGAATAATTATTACCCCGAGATTGGAATATTCCATCTTTTTCGTTAGAAGTTTTATCTTTCGTTATATTTTTACTTGTGAATAAAATTAGTTGTAGCACTAATATGCAAAGAATCTTCTGAATTATTCCGAAAGATAATCTGCGATACTATAAATAAAAAGTATAAAATGACCAAATATTCGCAAGACAATTCAAATCAATATCACTTCAAGATATATACTTCTTAGATTGCTTAAGTTTATTAAGATTGTAATTAAGCTATTTGTTCTAATAACTTAACTGTTCTAATAATTTTTAAGATATGTAAAGTGAAGTTTAAAAGCTTTGCATTGTAAATTAGAAGATATAATTTGATCCTTATTTTTTCTATGTGGATATTCCATCCTTTCAATTATTTTGTATAAAACGTAAGGTTTATGTATAAATAATTGAACGGATCACATCTTTACATGCGTATAGTACTTTTTTATATTTCATTTGATATGAACAGGATTTTGCGTAAGGTATTTATTCAGTATGTTGAATTCAATTAATCTTTTTCATCAATAGATGAATACGTCATGGGTGTTAGAAATAAACTAGCATTTTCATTATCAATTGGCGTGCTTAAACCAGCCTCCATAATGTATTGATTTATATTTCATAAACTCTCAATTATAATTTCCTTAAAACATATATTATTATTAAAGATAAGGTTAAAAAAAATAAATTAAAATAAAAATAATACAGTGCAAACAGCCTAGTCCCGACAAATAAAATTGATAAAATTCAAATTGCTAATCCTTTTTCAAAAAAAAATTGTAAAAAAAATATTATCTTAAAATGTTAAATCAAAACAAGCTAAACACTTCTATGTTCTTAAATTTTTTTTAAATCTATTTATAAAAAAAGCTATAGCAGATTAAAGTTATAGCATTTTTATAATTAAATATGAAATTTGGCCACCTTTTATATATATAAAAAAACCAAATTTGGCCTCTTAAAAATTTAAATTTGGCCACTTTATATATATTAAAAATTTAAATTTGGCCACTTTATATATTAAAAATTTAAATTTGGCCACTTTATATATAAATATTAGCTAAATTTTCAAATTGGCCTCTTCATATATATGAAAAATAAAATCTGAATTTGGCCACTAAAAATTTTTATTTGCTGTGACTAGGCTGTCTGCACTATAGTAATAATAATAATAATAATAATAATAATAATAATAAGTTAATACCTTAAAAAACAGAAAAGTCGGCACACATCGACGTAATAAAGATATATTAATACTTGTCATTGGCAGATTAGTTCTAGTAACTTCTCTAAAAATGTAAACTCCTTTATGTGAAATAAAAAGCTCATATACAATTACTATATGATCTATAAATATTTAACGTTAATTGCAAAGAAAAAAGCATTGTAGCTCAATAAATTCTCACTATAGACTTGTAGCCCATAAAGCTTTAGAAGAT